GTGTGATTGTGGACACACAAGCCAGTGGCAATAACCGAAAGGTTTCAGCTTTCATTGGCGGTCTAGACCTCTGTGACGGGCGTTATGATACACCTGAGCATAGATTATTCCGTGATCTTGACACAGTCTTCAAGGATGATTATCATAATCCAACATTTAGTGTGAGTATTGTTTATTGTTGGTCTAGACCTCTGTGATGGGAAATATATAACACCTGAGCATACATTCTTTTAGTAATCTCAACCTGCCAAAATATAACATATAGGCAATTCAAAAAATCTGTTTTTTTTAAGCAGTTGATATTTTAGTTTTCAGTTATCTTTTTCTCTTGCAAGCCTATAAAAATGATGACACACTTGTTCTCTGAACTAATGTTGTTCCTCTCTATCCGACCCTCATGTATTGACCTGGTGTCAAGTTTTTTTTCCCGACTGATGTTTTGGGATTTTCCTGGCAGAGATATAATTTTGTCTTTTCGATAGGCAGGAACCAAGGCGCCTAGACAGCCATGGCATGATTTGCATTGCAAGATCGAAGGACCTGCCGCATATGATGTACTCACAAACTTTGAGCAGCGGTGGAGAAAAGCCACAAAATGGTCAGAGTTTGGAAGACGTTTGAAAAAGATATCTCATTGGCACGACGATGCTTTGATCAAAATAGAAAGAATTTCTTGGATTACAAGTCCTTCCTCCTCTGTTCCAAATGATGACCAATCTTTGTGGGTTTCCAAAGAAGACGATCCTGAAAACTGGCATGTTCAGGTTCGTAGGAACTAACGTTTTTCTTCACAAAGGAAAATATTGAGTCATTGATTAGATTTAACTAAGTTACAGCTAACACTATGTTGTTTGAATGCTTACAGGTCTTTCGATCTATTGACTCAGGGTCCTTGAAAGGATTTCCAAAAGATGTTCTTTTGGCTGAATCACAGGTGCATACTCTCGTAGCTTCTTGTTTCTTGAAGTCCATACTGAAAGTTGAATGTCACATGCCATCTTTATATAACGTTGGTTTTGAATTTGCTTAACTTTCTAAAAGGTCCTTGACATTTTTCATTGCAGAACCTTGTCTGTGCAAAAAATTTGGTGATTGATAGAAGCATCCAGATGGCATATATTCAAGCAATTAGACAGGCACAGCATTTTATCTATATTGAAAATCAATATTTCCTTGGGTCATCATATGCTTGGCCTTCATACAAAGAAGCAGGTTTATCATCTTTATTCGGAATGATTGTTGTTCCTAATCTAATTTAGCATCATTTATCTTCTTCTGTGCTTTTGGATTGTCAAAGGAAAGAAAGAACCATAACTGCCTTGAGATATAATACAAATCCAATGTCTCTGACTAATGGAGGTTTTTCTCATTTTATGTTTGGTTGGGTTAAAGAGGAGGGTTAGGTGGAAGGTGAATAAGATGGATTGGAAGGATCATTTACCTTGTTTAATCATATGAATAAATAACAGGGTAAAGTAAATTTGTAGGCCATGGTACCCTGCTACTTCAGAAGTTGTGATGCCTTCAGTTTTGGAGAGAAATATTGTGATTTTGATCACAAATAGTTAAATTACCCTCATGATTCAAATCCCCCTCTTCATAAAAAGATAGGTGATTTCTTCCCATTTGTTTACGCATTGGTGGATAGAGTTAGTTGGTACTTGTGCTGGTGAGGTACCAGAGGATTAGTCAAGATTTTTACTTGTACATTCATTTAAACTTAATATGGAGAATAACCCCTTTTAAGTGAACAATGGTAATCCACTTCTTTCCCCTACATTTTAACCAAACAAAGTGTTAAAGACATACTATGAGTCGAAATTCATCATTGCATGCCTATTGTTTTTTCACCCAATAATGTCCATTAACATGAATCATATTAGAAAAACATGAATCATCTCTACTCAAGGAGTTGTACCTTAATGAGGCTGTTTGGTCACCTAGACTACGCCAGTGAAGAGCGGTTTCCTTGGTTCTGTGTGCAACTCTTTTTGGCTCCATCTTTTTTTGTTCCCTCACAAGTGTTTGCTTGTACTTTAGGTGCTGATAATTTAATTCCCATGGAGCTTGCATTAAAAATAGCCAGCAAAATTCGGGCAAAAGAGCGATTTGCTGTTTATATTGTCATTCCAATGTGGCCCGAGGGAGTCCCCACTTCTGCCTCAGTGCAAGAAATTCTGTATTGGCAGGTTATGCAGCATACTATTCTTTAAATGTCAGCATTGTGTGTACTTCTTGAGTATTGTAATCAATAAAATAAGAATGTGATTTAACTTGATTGATGAAAAGAGTGATACACATTGTTCAACTTTTCAGATTACAGTGCATGATTTGGTATTTCTTGCCCCTAACACGGGGATAAGTGAGCGAAATGTGATAATCTAATTAGTTTGGTGGATAATTGAATATTTTGAGAATATATCTACTTGTAGAGGTCCTCCTTTAAGTTTGGTGCTCCTCCTCTTTTAGTTGTTTCTCTGTTTTTTCTTCTCTTTTGGATGTGATCAACACTTTCTTAGTTCTATTGCCATTTCCAAAAAAGAAAAGAAAAAGTCCTTTTTGTTGCTGAAGGCTACTGACAATTCCATTACAGTTCTTGTACTTCAGTTTTACTTCGTTTAATATGTTGAGTTTGTTGTAGTTTGATGCCAGCAACGGGTGATATGCCTATCAAAGATTATTCTCAGTTACTAAGAGACTATCTCTTTTGCTGCTATTCTCATTATTGTGTTTCTCTTGCAGAGGCAAACTATGAAAATGATGTATGGAATCATCGCTCAAGAGCTAAAATCTTCTCAACTTCAAGATGTACAACTTTCTGACTACTTAAACTTCTATTGTCTGGGCAATCGAGAAGAATTACGTGGAGAATCAAAGTCTAACTATGCTTCAAATGGCGATTTGGTAGGAATCTTTATTCTCATTATATCTGCTAATTGTTATGCTACCCTTTCGCTAAACAATGCTTTAAAATCTACCTGATGTTTTTTGGAATTAAATGTGGTTCGATATACTTAAGGATACCCTCTTTTCCTTCAGTTCGGCTACTTGTCTAACTATATGTGCTTGACTGTGAATTTCTGATCATTGAAACAATCTTTTAAGCAAAAGTTTGAAACGTGTTTGTCACTTTATATACTCTGTACGCACAAGTATCTATGCTAGTTTTCTGGATTAAAAGAAATAAAACTATTCTAACTAGTGAATGGAACATTGGAACTAGATTTACTTTTCTGTAATTTGATCATTTCATGACATTGGCTGAGTCACATCAAGTCATCTGTACTACATTATAAACCAAGAGAATATCTTTAACAACATTTGACAAGTTATAGGAACTGCCTCTCAAATATTTCCGAAGAACTAATAGAGTAGCACAGTAGTATTTGGATCTATTTTTTCTTTTGTATGTTAAATATGATAGAAGTACACCAAATTGGTGTGATTTACAAAAGAAATCACAAAAGATTCAGATATGGTTGTATGAATCTTTTGAAAATCCTACACTATTTCATTATAGATATCCTTGTATGTCCTTTTCTTACTTGAGCCGAGGATCTACCGAAAAGAGCCTCTCTACCTTCACAAGTTAGGGGTAAGGCTGTGTTGTTGTTGTTGTTATAGATAGACTTGTAAGTGCACATAATGATGAGGACTAATTTTGCCATGAAACTGCCATCAGATTTCAGCTTCACAGAAATTTGGACGGTTTATGATTTATGTACATGCCAAGGGGATGATAGTGGATGATGAGTATGTCATTTTAGGATCTGCCAATATTAACCAAAGATCTATGGCTGGTTCAAGAGACACAGAGATAGCTATGGGTGCATATCAACCTCATCACACTTGGGCTATGAAGAAAAGGCATCCACATGGCCAGGTCCGTGAATCTCCTTCCCCTAATAAAGCAAACTAGAACATTATCATTTTGATCAAAACTATCAAATCTTAACCAATAGCAGGAAATTTTTTGTTAATCATGCTACCATGTCTATAAAAGGATCTTCTTGACAACTACAACTACATGAAGAGGCGGATAGATCTTCTATTTGATGTGTTGAACTGAACTCAGTATTTTCAACACTGAACTTAGATATTGATGTGAAAAAAAATCAGTAACATTGCAATAAATATTACCTTCTAAACACCTAAATGCTGAAATCACATTTGAATTCTGGATCCGCCTTTGGCTGCAGGTATATGGTTATAGAATGTCTCTATGGGCAGAGCACATGGGCAAGTTAGACGATATCTTCACAAAGCCAGAAAGTTTGAACTGCGTGAAGCATGTAAATGAGGTTGCTGAAGATAACTGGAATAGATTTACAGCTGACGAATTCAAACCTTTACAAGGTCATCTTCTCAAGTATCCAGTCCAAGTAGGTACTGATGGGAAAGTAAATTCCTTGCCTGGTCATGAATATTTTCCTGATGTTGGTGGTAAAATACTAGGAGCTCGAACCAATCTTCCTGATGCTTTAACCACATAACTCTTCCCGTCTTCCGGTTTTGTAAATTAAACCAATTTCTTATAGAATTGGTGAGAATAATTATCAGAATTCCAACTCAGTGAGCAAGAACTATATCATCTTGGTTGCTGTCGAAGATGTGCATCGTGTTCACTAATGTTATACCATTCTTTGTTGTATTAATCATGTAATAAATATCTTGTTCATGATGATCTCAAGAATCTCTCCAAATGTACAGTTAACTTTAAAGATATATAATTTCAACAGATGCAGAGTGAAAATTTTCGGCCATTTGCTGTTATCTAATTTCCGTCTCTTCTATATCTCTTTCTACTATGAGAATGATATTTTTATTCTTTAGTTTCATTGCTGTGAATACGGATAAGTTCATACAGGTTAGGAGATACTATGTTGCTCGGATTCTCCAAAAAGGCTCTACTTTTGGATGTTGCCAATGAAGACAACTGAAACGGTATGTTGTTTACCATCAGGAGAAAGGTTGAAATTTTTTGTCTTACAAAAGCAACATTACAGTCCAAAAAAGCTGGTATTAATCACAAAATGACATTACATGGATAAATATGCAACTTTAATTTCCTGAGTTTTCATTACACCTCAAAAAGAGAAGGGCAATACTAAAAGGAAAATGTTGAAATTGATGGGAACTCAAATCAACTTTTACATAACAGAGAGGTGAGAAAATTAGTTAACAGTAACTTTGCCAACCATTCCAGCTCCCTGGTGAGGTGCACAGTAGAAAGTGTAAGTTCCTTTCTCACTCAAAGTGACACTGTATGTCTCTCCTGCTGCATTCAGAAGATCCTCTTCAGCCATGGAAATCTTACTTGCATCTACACCAGCTGGGATTTCATCCTCATCGAATACGACGTTGTGTGGGAACCCTGCATTGTTCTTGAATGTAATTTTCTCACCAGCGCTAACGCTGAAGTTTCCAGGAATAAAAGCAAGACTCCCATCATCACCACCAAGCAACACATCAAGTGCCATGGCATTGCTAGCAAGCATCGCGCTAACAGTGGTGGCAGCAACAACAGCACCGACATCTTTCAAAGACGCCTTCACGGTCAATCTGGCAGCTGGGGCAGCTGCCACCTTGGCGGATGAGCCGGTGCTAACTCTGGAAGATGAGGAAGCACCAGCCTTGAGGCCAGTGAAAGATGGAATAGCAACAGCAGCAGAGGTAACAGTGGCCATTGTTAATAGGTATGATTGTTGTTGTTGTTGCTTTTGTGATTGAAAAATTGGAATCAAGAAAAGGGGAGTAGGGGTTGATGGGGTTTTAATATGTGAGGTTGTAGATAGAGTAGTGAAGGAAGAGGTTGATTCTTTGTATAAATGAGTGGTGGTGTATACTCTGATCAAAGGATGGACAGTTATCTGCTGTGAAAGAATGCTATTGGTTGATATGGATTATATATCCTATGACGTGTATATGTTTATCTAAAGATGGAAATTGAAGGGCTACAATTATATTGAATCACAAAAAGTTTAAACTAGTACAAGACTGAAAATAAAAATTTCAATACGTAGATTTTCCATTATGTGGCTCTATAGAAGGTCACAATTCTTTATTTTTTTCCCTTTGAGAGATGCAGACATGTAATTTATGATAGGTTTAAGATGCGTTTTTGACTTGAATTATATATCTATAGTTAAAAGAAGTTTAATTATGTTAATGGAAAATACTCAATGTCATTATCGGTTATTTTGTGGTATGGAATGAGACACGATTAATTAACCAAAGCACACACAAAAGGAGATATTTCAAAACAAATATACCCTCGTATACAAAAAACAAAAATATAACTTAACTAGTATACTCTAGTAAGTAAAAATATAAGTCTAAATTTATCTATTATGGAGTAGTACATTGCTTAAATTTTCCCCTCAATTAATCTAAAAATCCTTTTAACACTATGAACACAAAATATCTCATGTTAGCAAAAGAAGCTACCCTAATGTAAGCACTAATAGTTGCTTCTACGACTCAAACTTCTGACCTATAGATCAAACGGAGACAACTACATTATTTAATATGGGGTTCTTTACATGAAGAGAGGACTAACCTGCAAAGTTTCCACAAATTTGATGCTCCATGCATTGACATAGAATAAGCCATAAACATTAGCAAATGCAAACTCATATATATATATTTATGCTTCTTGTAGGGTACTCTAATGTACTACCCTTATTTCTGTTGTACTGCAATTGTACTAAGTAGTTTTTGGTACAAGCCTCAAGCCCTATTCCATCTAATTCTGCTTTACAACTCTAATTCAAAATATCTAAGTGCATATCTTGAGTGAAGGTTTCATACTTAAGTATACACAGAGCAACAGAAAATGAAAACCCCCAAATATTAAACACAAAACAGAAGATTTAGATAGAATAAGGATCTTTCCTTTTTTATGCCTATATTGTTAGTATAAACGCTAGGTGACTTCTGCCCACATGATAACTCTTGGTGAACAGCATTATGCCGTTACCCGATGCTGATGGAAAGTAAATAGTCGAGGTGCACCCTCAAGTTGCCCCGTTATATATGTAATAAGATCATCCTGAGTTATCTGAATGATTGATCTAAGAGGGAACATCGCTATACAGAGAGTAGTAGTGATGACAAATGAGGAGACTCTAGCCCAATTTCCATAACTTCTCAAGACCAGGGTAGGAGGAGAAATTAGAAGCAATGACACGAGATAACGACTATAGCCATGTCTCCAAACACCGTGAACACTTCAAGAATGTAGCATTCAGCTACACTCACACAATAGTGTGTCCTCCATGTCTTATATCAACACATACAGTTTTGAATGTCTAAGATGTACAAATGCCTTATAAATGTTCTCATGATGTTTACATATCCTAAAGATAACATTTATCTAAATGCTTTCATAATGCCTATAGAAGATGCTTTCACTTACAATCGAGATTTACAAATGTTGCTAAAGATAACATTTATATTGGCCCATGAGCCCAACGGCTAGATAGTCAAGCCACCCCCACTAAAATGGGGCAAAGGTGCTCAATTGAGTCTCCCGCTTAACCAGGACAAGAGACTCAAAGATAGTGTTATATACAGAACAACATCAATCCATGCGGCAATTGTGCACAGATCAAATCATAAACTAGACAGAAGCAACTGCCAACTTAATGGGATTTAACTGTTGTACAATCCTATGGACGAATGAGAGACAGATGAGAATGGCATATTCTCTCTACTCTCTTCAACATAAGATGAAATAGGTATAAATCAGCTTATCTTCCTTCTACGGTAACAGTAAGGATGAGCTTAGTGCAAAGGACCATTAACCTCACTGCAGAAGCGAATTCAAGTTTAAGTTTGTGGGTTCCTACAATGTCCTCAAGTTAATATACAATAATAGTTGGGTCCACATTCAAATATTTATCGATATCTAGTGAAATCGTAATACATATAGAGAGCTTGTGCAGAAGCTACTGTGTTCACTTGATGAACCCCTAGGTTCCCATTTAGATCCGCCCCTAAACCTCAGGCCAAGTCACCTAAGTGGTAAGTAGGAAAAGCCACTATCTGACCTTCAAATGAAGTGCCAGCAACACACTTCCTTCAATCAAAACCAAAATCAAGCAAGGTTCCATTCTGGATAAGTAGCTTATCCAAAAGATTCCCTAATATAACCAACTGGCTTACATCGCATCGCCCGTCATGCTCACTGGCTTGCTTGTAAAAGTAAAACAATAAATTCCAGCTCAAAAGGTTGACAGCCCTTGAATCTAGAGCTGTTTTTCATTCCAACCAAGTTACTACTCGATTTCCCAAGTTCACAACAGGCATATAATGTCAAGATGAACCAGCAAAAAAACATAAACTCTGGCATGATAGTACAGAGGTGCAAAAACGCTTTGCTTTGTTCAATAAAGCCAAAAGGGAAGAAAGGGGTAGGAACAATCTAGTTTAGGAAGGGCACTGAAGATATCATGGAGCTAGTTTATCTCATTTCTGACTCTTACAGGGGCACTGAAGTAACCATCTCTGTTACTTCCCCCCTATGGACCACATTATTCACCCAAACCAACCATAGTGTATAAAAATATGAAAATAAAAAGGAATTTGCAGAGTTAGTAAGCACATGAAAACAAAAGCGAAAAAGTGGCTGGCATTTTGACATCCTAGCCCCAAACGAAGCAGTATAGAGAGGATATCCTTCAGTGAGATTGTGATTAGAAAATATTGAATAAATTCATCACATATATAGAACCCAGCAGCACAAACGTATACGCAAACATCAATAAGCACAGGCACTTATCCAAACAAATTCCATAATGGAAATCACCAGATTCAAGACCCAACCAAGATAAGACATACCAATATGCATATTCAATTATTAACAGTCATAACTCATATAAACAGGGTATACTTGTTATTTACAGTCATGTGATGAGAGAAACTGCCTAATAGAAGCAAGGGAATGTATAACACTCTAATTTTTACACATCCTTCTATCAGACCTTAAAAAAGCGGAAAGACGTCGTCGTTGTCATCATCCATATCAAGATACTTGAAGCCAATATCATTGTCTGAATTTGGATTGAAGTCGGGACTCACGTAGCATTTCATCTCATGAAACAGGTTCAAATTATCCACAAGCTTGTGAAATACATTGCATCCACAACACTGCCAAAACAAGAAACCAAATAAATTAGCTTATATGCCAAGCGGGAGGGAATGCTAGACATTTGGCAGTTCATCCTCCGACTAAGATAAAAGATTCCATTGAAGCGGCTAATCCCAGGCATATTGTATGGACATTTTGTCACACAAATTGCATAATATCATAAATAGCCACCCCAGGTATTACCCAGCCCCCGC